GCCGGAACTCGGCTTTTGCGGCCGCGGAACGACGAAAAATTCAGGATCTGAACGATACTCGAAGAACAGGAAAATCCATGACTCGAAGGGAAAATCGAAACACGAACTGAACGAAAGAACCGTTGTCAGAGACACCTTCGGTTAAGTCTCGGGCGAGGTTCCGTTGCAACGGGCAGAGTTGATGACGCTAACGATGGAGGAAAGGCGGCTCGTTGTCGTCACCGCAGCCCGTCGCCCCCTTCTGTGTGTGTATATTTATATGTATCTCTATATACATATATGTGTGTGTGTGTGTGTGGAGATATGTGTGTGTGCGCGCGCGCGCGCGCACGCATGTGCATGCGTGTGTGTGTTGGGGCGGCAAGAGAATGAAGAGAGAACAGAGAGGAGAGAAGAAAGAAATAGGTATGGGTTTGAGGGTAGAAAGGTCATTTCAACATTTAAATTGGTTATATAAAAGTCAAATGGCAATTATGTCAATTCATTACCATTAAAGTGTCTTTGGTAGTTGTATTAAATCTCAAGGGGTGTCTTTGTCCCAAAATAAGATAAGTTGTACCTGTGTCGTTTTAGCAAACCTCAAGAGGTGTTGTATTTTACCATAAAGTATAAATGTATTGTTATGGTGCCGAAAGCAAAGCAAAAAGGAGACAAATAAAAAGTTGTCATGTTGTTGCATATATACTTAGGAGTAATACTTCCATCCCACATACCTTTCAAAAAACAAAAAAAAAATACTTCCATCCTGCGCAGTGGGAGGATGAACTTCATCCTCCGTGGTCACATATTTTTGCGTTGTGTGTCCCATACTTAAGATGGGTAATACCCATTTTTACGGGTTAATCCCGCTTCCCTTGTCAGTCTATTCTCTCTCTCTCTCTCTCAATTCAGAAGATCCAATTTTTAACCTTCATTGTTACAATGGTTTGGATTTTTCATCTTGGTTTTTAATTATAGGGTGGTTAGGAAAACCTCTACTAGATGTACCTGGCTTATGTAACAGCCATATTAGTTAAAGCAAAAAAATTCCTCTATTTGAACAAAGCAAAGAAGTAGGGGTAATCCGTAGATCCGAAGAAAGAAAAGACACAACCAATGGGCAAAAATCTGATGACAAAGAAGTGGGTTATCCGAAGAAATACGTCCCAGTCGACCCAACGAACAAGGCCTCCTCCCCTCTAAAGCATCTTCCAAAGTCAAATTAACACACTCTGATTCCTCCTTTGTCAAGGAGAAATTGCTGATTTGATTAAAAACATGGTGGCGGCGCGTTACAAAGGAGAGGGAGAGGGGAAGATGTAATACCCCTAATTTTAAAAGGATAGTCTCGGCATATTAATTTTACTTTTATTGCATTTTATTTGTTTATTTATTAATTTTGTTTGTTTAAATAATTATGTGCCTTTTTATTAAATGATATTTGAATTAAATTGATTTAATTGTTTTTCATGTGAATTATTTGAATTATTGACAATTGGTTATTTATTGTGACTATTTTTCTTTACTTGTTAATTGTAGTATTTTTATTGTTATTTGTAATTCATTGTTTTATTATAATTCATGTAATGGTAAAGTTAGGTTATTAAACTTAAGTTATGTTCATGCAGCCGCGTTTAGTATAACCTAGATTACACGGTTGGGCCGACTAAGGTTTACATTAGGGCTTTGTCTCTAATATTACAAGATTAGGGTTTTAGAGTTGTGCCTATAACTATAACCATTATACTGTAGCCTAGGGTTTTACGATCATAACTCATAGCACAAAAAACGTGAAGTTAGTTCTGTAAACACAGAGAGATACAGAGTGAGGTTTTGAGAGAACAGAGCACGTTCGGCGTGGGATTCGACTGAGGCTTCAAGGTCGGACCTAGGAGAGGGGAAGAACAGAAGTAAGAGGAGGATAGACAGTAGTTTAGTGTTACCGGAACAGTGGACGCGACGCCGAGATTTCAAAACTGAAATCACAGGCAAGTTCTTTTCTTCTTCCTTCCCTCTGGCTTGTGTTCTGTGCACCTAGATAGTCTCTAGGGTTTAATTAATTATTAACTAAGTTTTACATGTGTATTAGATGCTATATTGATGATATATATATGTGTTGAAATTTGTTAAATTATGGTTCGTGCATGCCTGATTTCAGTTGTATTCTTAAAGCATGCTTAGTCTGTAGAACTTATAACTTTTGTATTTAATTTCAACTGCTGTAAACACTCCATGGGGATTATACTGGACACAGTTAGGACCTTTAGGAATAGTTTAAAACCAAATAGACAGGTTGGGAGCGATCGAAGACGAAGTAGAAGGTCGCAGAAGTTGCAGCGGTTGAAGACGGCTCTCAGAGGAGGTGAGAGCCAGCTCCATAGAAGTGGGAGCCGGCTCCCACACATGTAGAGCCAGCTCCAAGGTCATTGGAGCCGGCTCCAAGCTGATTAGAGCCTGCTCTCAAAGTCTTAGAGCAGGCTCCCTCTCAAATTTGCTTCCTGATGTTGTTTTTGACACACTGTTTTGAATTGTGCGAGGATTGAACTGTTCCAATGGTTCTGGAATTTCATAGAGGGACTAGGAAGTTGGTTTTGGATGTCATTATGATCTTAAATTGATTTAGGATGATCTCTAAGTGAATGGGATAAACAGTATAAAATTTAGGCACTTTCTATGCTGTTAACGAATGGAAGATAAACTAAGTGCTTAATTAAATTTCAGCATTTTAATGGGATTTAATATGTTTATAAAACTTGTTTTAAATGTATGATAGGATTATTTAATTATTAGTTTTGATCTATGCATACTTTGGATGCTAATTGTCGGAATATTAAATCTTTTCTGCAATTACCTGGATTATTGTTTGGATTTTAATTGCTATAATATTAATTATCGTCTCTGCAATTATTTGGATATTAGTTTGGACTGTAAATTACTCAGTATGATTTATATGTTGTAATTTACATGGATATGGAGGATTGTGTGCTTCGGTATGGGACGGTGGCACATTAGGGACGGCTTGGCTTCAAAATGCTAAGACCTAACCTATCAGATTAATGGAATGGATTGTAAACTGTTGAATCCTAAATTATGTATAAGTCAGATCAACTGACTAAGTTGAATGACTTCCTGGATTAGTTGGTTGTGGTCAAGTCATATCAGTTGTATAAGTTGAGTGACTATCCGGACTGTGTTTTGTATGTCTCCTCAATGAATGACATACTCTGGATTTGGAAGGATTTTAGATATATGGTTATGGTACCACGAGATGAGCTTGAGTCTCAGGCTCGTTGGTTAGGGTGCGTATATGCAGTGGATGCGTAGCTGGATATAGTAAGTAGGTGTACCATGTTAAGTCTAGGTACTCATGCCCACCTTCGGGTGCGTTTTCGCATGTTGCCTTCTATTCAGGTTGAGACCTCTATTATAGTCCAGTGAATGTCCCTTAGTGTGGATATATATATTTATGGACTAAATAGATACTGTGAGATATCTAGAGTGTATCTGCGTATCGAGTCACTGTATGGATTGCAGTTAGATTAGAACTTGTTCGTGGGCTTGACCCACTCCTTTATTCTTTTCAGGTACAGGACTGTTCCAACCTTAGAGCTTGATTGTGCTGTTCGAGGACAGTTTTCCATTCGTCAGTTTGCGTAAGACTTGTCTCGATGTTTCAGTTTTATTTACTTTCAGTTATTTCAGTTCAGTTGGGATTTTATTTAGGGGTCTATTAGATGGATTCCCGAGTTATACACTTGGAGATTTTGGATAGTTTGGATTCATTTTATTCATTACCGTTTGGAGGATTTGATAAAGGATCTTTCTGTTAGCTTTATTCTAAATCTTATTTTACTTAAATATTTGTATTCTGTGTTCGCTTTAAAATATTTTAATTGTCTGATATTTCCCTCGTGTTTGGGCTTGAGCCTGATCAACCCGTGTCTCGGATCCGAGGGGTATCATAGAAAATGAGGGGAGGCGGAGGCGAAGGGAGGGTATCGAAGCAGGGTGGTGCAATGGAGGCGAGGAGAAGGGAACCAGTGGCGGAAGCTGGTAATTGGGAGGGTTGGACCTTTGCCATGGGTGTAGATGGAGAGGGCGACGTTGGTGTTCTTGAGAGCTATGGTGTAGCCGGAGTGTGCCGCTGTAAAGGCATTGAGTATGATGGTGGTGATGGTGGTGGGAGAAAGAGTGGAAAGGCGGAGGCTGATCTGCATTTAGAGAGATCAATGATGGACCCAGAAAATTTTGTGAGGGAAAGCGGCTTTTTAATTTGTGGGGGCAAACTTATATAGTGAGTCCATTTTTGTAATTTTAATGGGGTTTTCTTCATAAATTTTCAAAAATTTAAAGTATAAAGTGCAAAAAAATAAATTTCAGTGAGGGCGAATTGTAATTTTAGTGGCGCGTCTTCATAAATATTCAAAAGTTTGCAGTAAAAAAAAAAAAAAAAAAAAAAAGAATCCAATGGGGCGAATTATAATCTTAGTGGGGACATTTTCATAAATTCTAAAAAATAGAAGTATAAAATAAAAATATAAAAAATTTATGCCCCCACTGATCCCCTATGCTGGGTCAGTGCTCGAGAGAGATAGAAGAGCGGGTTTAACTACAAAAATGGGCGTTACCCATCTTCATATTTGTTTTTGGTATTGGAAAAGTGGCGCAAAAATATGTTGCCACTGCGCAAGATGGTATTGGTCACACATGCATCGACTTCACCACTACATGTACTGAGAGTCTGAGACCAGGGACCACACATTTTCAATTGTGTCTAATGCATTTGAAGACACATGAATTTAAGACAACTCTATATATAGACATAAGTATAACAATCAAAATTGGACCTGATGCCCCCCACCTAGGATTGTCGGGTTTGGTTAAACCTGTCATAACGTATAGCCTCAAGTTTTTTTTTTTTAACCAAAACAATGTGTGTTTTCTGTATTGTCTAGCTTTACCTTTATATTAAGATAAGACCATAGTGGTAGCGCTAGCCAAATAGAGAAAAAAAAAACGTATGGAGCACGAGCTTTACAAAACAGCATTACAAGGGAGTGCGAATTCACTGCATGAATTACTTGAAAAAAGATCCATTAGTTCTTGATAGAGTTGCCGTGAATTGCTTCAACGAAACACCTTTGCACGTGGCAGCAATCCGAGGGCACACTGATTTCGTGAAGGAAATTCTAAGTTGAAATTCCGAGCTTTCTGGAGAGTTAGATTCATGAGGATTATCCCCTCTTCACTTGGCATGGGCTAAAGGGCACGATGAGATGGCAAAAAAATTACTGTCAGCCAACCCTGAAATGTGCCTCGCTTGTGATCAAGATGGTAGAAACCCTCATCATCTAGCGCCTAGCGGCCATCAAAGGGAGTCAGTGTCTTGAAAAAGCTGGTTGAAGCTAGATTAGCTGCGGCTCGAGCAATAGTACTGGACAAGGGTGCCACCATATTGCATTTGTGTGTGCAGGACTATCGATTAGTGGCGCTGGAACTATTGTTGGAGACTATGAATGATCGTGAGTTTGCTAATTTAAAGGATGGGAATGACAACACCATATTAGATTTAGCAGTTGCATATAAACAGATCAAGGTAGGTCCGTCCTTCCATCCGACAATTTGAATCTCTAATTATTATTATTATTATTATTTCCATTCTTATGTTTTTTTGTCAAAAAATTTGAATCTCTAAGGTGGACCAATTGTTTAATTAATTTTTGCAGACAATAAAGTATTTGCTGGCAAGTGCCCAAATAGATGTAAATGCGATTACTGCTAATACATTGAGAGCACTGGACAATATTTTAGCACGCAGTGGACCGAAGGATTTGGAAATCGGCAACTCCCTTGATGAAGCTGGAGGAGCATCAAGAGGCAGCAGAGATATACCTGTCGACTCATCTGGTAATGAAAATGGAACAAACATTAGGCAGCGGCTGCTTAAGTACTGTACGCCATTTCTCATCCAATTCCTGAATGGTTTGGTAGATAATGGTTCTCGGGGTGGCGGCGAGTTTATGAAGGAGATTCGGACGGGATTAATGGTAGTGGCTTCGGTCATATGCTCATTGACATTCCAAATTGGGGTGAATCCTCCCGGTGGTGTTTGGCAAGACAACTTAGTGGTAGATTCTCAAGGTAACCCTGTGCCAAATCCACACAAGGCAGGAGAAGCTATAATGGCTTCTACCTCTCCAAATGAATTCCGTTTTCTCTATAAAGCTAACGTCATGAGCTTCGGTACATCTATGTTGGCAATGTTGTTTCTAATTATCCCAATTCCCTTAAGGAACAATGCTCTGGTGGTGCTTTTGTTCAGCTTAATGTTGTCAACATTGTGTACTGTTGCGGTAACTTATTCTTCTTCTATTGGGGCAATCACTCCAGCTGACTTAAAACAGTTGAATCTGCTTTCACTATCATTGGCATTGACTTGTGTCCTGGTAATTCCTCTTCTTACTGTGATTGGGATTCTCCGACTAGGAATATGGTTGAAGAGCCGTGGATTAATAAATGTATCGCAACCAGAAACACCACCAAGTTCAGTTGATATAAACCATGCATCCAATCGCAACCAAGAAGATTTTCAGAACATTCATGACTTGCAATAAACCATGCCAATGCTGCTTAATTAATTGGTTTTTATGCTTCAGTTCAACGTATAAGTTGCCCTGTGTTCCTTTTGTAGCAAAATTTCTCAAAAATGTACTAGTCAATGTTTAGTGTTAATCACTGTTGTAACATTTTAATTATGTCTATCTATTCTGTGAAATGTATGGTATTATTTTGAAACCTCTCCCAATTTTACTTGGAGTAAGCAGAAATAAATTCCAACCTCAATTACAAAGAATCTGCTTATATTCCTTTTCTTCTTAATTTAAAAATTAAAAAAATACAAACCTATAAAGTCTTATTCTAATTAGGTCAGCTATTTTTTTTTTTTTATTATTAATTTTATTGAATACATTCTAATGACAAACTATATATACTTAATTAAATAATACCATCTGGATTTAAAAGGGGGTTCCGCGATCATTTTTGTACTTGATTTGAAATATAAAAGAGAACAAAATTATTGAGTTCCCACTCAGGCTTTCATAGATTCAAACCCATGGCTTTTCAATATAGGGCAAAATGTAAATACATAAATAAATAAACAATTGTTTTGTGTAACCCCCTGAATTTTAATAAAATATCGAGAACAAATTAAAAATGTTGCAAATGATTTCCATTCGTCATTTAGATACGGGCTTAAAAAAAAAAAACTCTATTACATTTATTTTTTATCATAAAATCCTAATATGTTTCTAAAAATTCTTATATTTTTAAAAAGTGTACACATTGCTCCTAATATCCATATCCGACTAAAAATTATTTTTTCAAATTACAAAAATACCATTCACTCCTTCTTCTCTGTTAAACTCTCACCTCGCTCTCTCAAACCAAAACCAACCCAAAAAAACCAAGAAAATAAAATAAAAATAAATTTGGCAGTGTCATACACTAAATACAAACATTAAAGGTAACATTGTCCGCATCCTATTACTCTCATTTCTTGTTATCTTTAATTAAATAGCATTGAATTATATTAACAATTAAACAGAGACATTAATTGCTATAATTATAATATAATTTCTGAATCGAAGATGGAAATCGTGAAACCCTTTTCCTTACTCTTTCGTTACTCTGAAGCTGAAATACACTGTTTGGTTTCTCAGAAAGAGAGATAAATTTATAGAGAAAGTGATACACAAATGAGAACAGATTGAGATAATAAAACGAACTGAAGAGGGCCAAAACAGAGATGAGTAGTTAATAAAAAACAAATTAGTGTTGTTGTATTTGTAGAAGAGGAAGAGGAAGAACAAGACGAAAGGGATGGTAGTAAGAACAAACAAAATCAGAAAGCCAAGAAAAGTAGAGAAAGAGAGAGAGAGAGACAGAGAGAGAGAGAGAGGAGTGTCGGGTCTGTGAGCGTCGTGTTGTGGCAGTGTCAATTAGAGAGAGAAACAGACTTAAAATCCAAAAAACAATACTAAAACCAGCTTTGACGGTCTGCTTGAGAGAGAGAGAGAGGAGAGGTGAGACTTTAAGAGAGAGAGGGGTGAAGAAAAAGCATAAGTGAAGGGTATTTTTATAATTTTAAAAAATAATTTTTAGTTTTAAATTTAATATTAAATGATAAGGCCACATTTATCATTTTACAACCCTATTAACTCTGGTTGAATATTGAAACAATATGAACACTTTTTAAAAGAATAAAAAATTTTAAAAATAGGTTGACATTTTGTGATCAAAAAATAAATGTAGGGAGATTTTTATGATTTAAGCCCTTTAAATATTAACATGGTAATAAAATTACATAACTATTCTTCTAAAATGTTTATGAAAAAAATTGATTTAAAAAATGATTATGAAATAAAAGTTAAAAAAAATTATGTTAAAACCAAATGATGGAAATAACGGAAAAAGATCGTGATTGTTACTTAAATAATACAATCACACCTACTTAAATAATACAATAACTCTCACATCCTGGAATTTGAATCTTCTTGAGGCCACCCTCCAGTAATTTTTTCAAATAATTTTGAACATACAAATCAGTGATATACCAAACCATAAAGGTTGAGGGGATGTATATATATATATATATATATGATTCTTTGAATCCCTAACCTAGTATTTCCTACCTCTAAATATTGACCTTTTAATCCATCCCAAATTATGGGCTTGTCAATCCAATCTTCATGCTCTTCAAGAGGGTGAGCCGGTGTTCGAATTGAATCAAATTTTGGCCCCGACCAGTTGGTGTGATCAAGGTGGTATTGGCGATGAAGAAGTTGGGTGGGTGGTTTTAGAAGGGAGAGAGGATTGCCATGAAGAATAGATGGATAGGATCATAGGAATCATCGGAGATCGGTTTCGTGAGGTGTTTGGAGATAAGGTTTAGGAGTTCGGTTGGTAGTTGATACCATTGAGCCATTGTTGATGCTACAGTACTTTGAAGCAAGAAAGTTGTGATACCCCCTAATTTTGGAACACGGATTGATCAAGTCCGCGCACAAAATCAAGGAATATCAAAACAATTTAAGTATTTAACAAGCACAGAATACAAAGATGAATAATAAAGAATAAATAAACCGCTGAAGAAAACTAATAAATAAATATTACTTAATGATTCTCCAACAATTACAATTCGGAAATCCCATAACTCAAGGACCCCTTAAAACATTATCCAATAATCCAATACTATTTAAAAGTACACAAGATGAATAGATGAATGACAGTCTCCCAGCTGCGGATCCTCAATCTCGAGACTGGAACCTCTAATAACCTGAAAAATAAATCGTGGGTTAAACCCTACGAGCAAGTTCACTCTACCAGGCCTCTGAAAACCAATAAGCAAATCATCTCTGATCAAAACCAAACCTAATAAAGTTTTAACTTTAATAAAGCACGATATACATGTCTATATATAATTATATATACTATACTAATCACATCCATTAATAGGTTTATTAAATTTTCATACCTATTAAATAATTATTAAAATAATATCCATACCTAGACCAATCTACCATTTCATTTTATAAAAACTCCTTTGACCTTAATCCCATCCTAGTCAGTTGTTTAATCATTTAAACAACAAATTATAATAAAAGAAATACTCTATTTAATCCCAACCCGATAATGATTTTAATTGTTTAAATCACATATCAAAAATCCAAGTTTTGACAAATCATCCACGTCTTCCCCAATATTATTTTATTAATGTAAAATAATACACTAACCAGTAAGTACTAAACTATTCTCATTTAAGAATATCTAACCCTAATCCAATCCATACATACAACAACCATAGATGATATTTTAATCATCTAACACATAACAACGTAATTATGCTTTGGCAAATCAACCATGCCATTGTAAATATTTTTATTTATATATTGGCAATTCAACCATGCCTCCATAAGTATATTTATTTATACATTGGCAATTCAACCATGCCTCCGTGTATGTATATTTATACATTGGCAATTCAACCATGCCTCCACAGGTATATTTATTCATACATTTAATTAGCAATTCATCCATACTTTCCATATATGTATTCTATTCATACAAATATTTAGGTAATATATTTAATCATTTGACAATTCATCCATGCCCACACTTTAACCATGAATTAACTTTAAAATTAACAATACGCTAATTCATACATAGCCATCACATGCATATTATACGCATATCATTAATTTAACAACCAGCCTATTAAGATATGCCAAATAAGAATGATAATATTAATCATCTTAAATGATTTATATATATATATACCTACACATATGTTATTTAATGTATATATGTGTTTAACACCTTCTTTAATAATCCTTGATTATTTAAAATCAATATACATACATATATATATATATATATATATATATATATATTCATCCTTCCATACAACTCATAGACAAATTAAACTATATATACACATATATAAATAATTTTATATTCATCCTTCCATACAACTCATAGACAAATAAAACTATATATACACATATATAAATAATTATATATATATATAAATATATATATATATACACTTCCTTCCATAACAAATTATTAATTTATTATATTTACACAAATTAGTGCAACTAAATATGTCAGAAATAGTTTCCTTTAAATACTCCATATTGGTTTAAATAGTTTTCCGACACTTTCTCACTAAAACATAAATATCTCCTAGTAGGATGGGAATCTGATAATGAAATTGGTACCATTGGAAAGAAGACGAAAAATCCTTGAATTTGAGCTCAAGACTGACCCAATTTCGATTTAAAATGACTAAGTTATGACCGTTTTAATTTCTAGTGTCGAATTAGGCCAACATAGTTTCCCACGCGCGCCCACGTGCTTACTATGCACTTGCACGCGCTGGATTCAAGCCTCCTTGTGTGCTGGTATTGGCTAAGCTCTTTCAGCTACCGTGAGCTCACCACACTGAATCCATCACTTCCTTTATGCCGCATCCAATGGTCATAAATGAGTGCGCAAATGAACACGCTCACACTAGATTATTTTCTATTAACTATAATAGATCTAAGGTCCAGATCAGCGAGTGCACCATCTTCTCATGGTCTGCAATACACCAAATAATCCCATAGTTGACCAGACCACTTCTATGGTCCAGATACACATGCGCACCAAAGTTTTATGCGCCGCGATGCACCATATCAATTCACATAAGTTTAATTAATCAAATGGCCCTAATTGGCGTATACACCCTATTACCCTACACCACGCTGCACTGGATCAATTCTTTATTGTGCCGCCGCTCCACATGAGCCAGTTACCTAGTATATATATATATATATATAATTATTTTCCTAACAAATAATAGGAAAATTAATCCTAATAAATTCCTAAAAATATCAGAAAAATTCCAGAAAATTACAGAACAATTCTAGAAAATAAAGAAACCATAATTAACTCTCTTGGGTCACAAATCCACCTATAGATTGATTTTAAAATATACATAACACCTATATATATCAATTAAAATCCAATAATCTAAAAATCAAATATAATAGTTTATACTTTTTAATTATTCCGATCTAACCATAATTTTTAAACAAATAAATTTAATTAAAGTCTTGATACTCAAGGTGAAATCCTTATGAGTTCTAAGAGGAAAGTTAGAGAAAACTCGCCTGAAAGTTTCGAAACGAAACCGACGCTTTAAGCTTTAATTATCTCTTCCAATTCCGACGTCCTCCTTTTCAGATCCGACCTCCTCCTTGTCAGCCCTTCTTCTTCCTCTCTCTCTGTCTGTTTTATTTTTCTAATG